TGTTCGATTTCACTTTGACAGCATACCATCTTGATCGATTTATCAGATTTGAAGTTCATCCGATTTGGGTTTTATATCACGTTCCTGTCTTGTTTTAATTGTTGGGTATTGTAAGCGGGATTGATTGAAATTGCAGGTTAGGCAGATTTGTGGTTTGTGACTTATCACACATAAGCTTGTGCGATTTGGTATTCCTTGTTCATCAATCTTACCCAGTCATCCGTATTCAAGGTGATTCTCGATCACAGGTATTCACAAGTGATTTGTTTTGCTTGCCTTGGACTGTGTTTGTGGTTAACATGTTAAAGTCATATTGTCCGATTTATGTGATTAATAGCACAGATTGTTAGATTTCTTTGTAGCTTACATTACAGCAGCAGATGATTTCTCATTCTTTGCACTTGAGCTGTATCTTACACACAAAGGCTGTTGTAATTCAAAGGCTAACATCCTACCTACTGTTGTTGCAAAAAATTGATGGAAGTTACATTGTTACTTGAACTAGTTCCAGAAAATTAAGGTGCGACTAGTATTATAAGATCTTGTGTGAATCTCTTGGCTAGACTTTGCATTCTTTGCTAGACTTTGCATTCTTTGCTTTAAAACACTTGAACTCACATTTACCATCTCATGCAAAGGCAACAAAGCCTTTTCGGCACCCTCTCCTGTTTCCGATGTAAGCTGATCACTAGAAAAACCAGCATCAATTCCACCAATCAGCAACTGTTGCTTGCTTAGAGCCTTGATTATCAATTGGTGAACTTTTCTTGTAGTTTCCAGGTTCATGACTGTCAAGGTACTAGTTGTGGAACATTAGAGCAGCTGAACTTGCAATCAAGTTTTGGTTGTAATTTTTCTGGCACTCCAAGGTTTGCATCAAAAGTTGGCTCCAGAAAGAGATTGATTATTTATAGTAGTCATTGTCATAATTCAAGTAAAATTGCTAAAGGTGAACTGGATGGTTGTTTGAGGAGTTCTAGCAGGCAAAGGTACTCAATTTGTATACTTAAGACATCAAGGGGAAATCTTAAAACAGCTGATGCCAAGGGGAAATCTGCTCTTTCCAAAGTTATCGTGATTCAGATAGTGGTACTGTTGGCAGGAGTACTTGATGTAGTTGTTACACTATTAAAGAAGCAGCCCCTTGAAACATTAGCTGTTGCTTCTAGTTCTATAACATTCATATCAATAATACTTGGAGATTTGGGTCGAATGTTTTTTGTCATCCAAAGCAATATCCAACTAAAGATTGCTTTTGTTTCTGCAGGTCTGTTCATTACACAAGATTGGAAGGTACATTTACCAATGGAACCGGGAAGACAGCATTGATTGATAACTCAATTCATACAAGTAATGGCTCTTTTGCTGCTTCTATCAAGAGAATTTTAGGAGGTTTTATCAGCCGGCGAACTACTGACGGTGTGGAGAAGCTCAATCTCAATCTTGCAAAGCCTGTTATTTTCAGATCACTGCAGGCTGTTCTTCAAGATTCTGATGATCATAGTGTTTCTGTATTTGGTTTTTAGTTTTGAAATCTGTTGAAGTGTAAATCGTGTAGCAGCTTTA